CCTTAGCTGCTTGAGCCACAGGTACCAAGCCATGAAGGATGTATTTTCATTGGTTGCAACCCATAGGCTGAGAATTGCTACTCTAGTTCCTTCAAAAACATGATGTATGGCTGGTGCAATGGCTCACACCTGTGATCCTAGCACTCTGGGAGGCCCAGTGGTGTGGATTGCCTGAGCTTAGGAGTTCCAGAACAGCCTGAGCAAGAGTGAGACCTCGTCTCTAAAAATAGCTGGGCATTGTGATGGGTGCTTGTAGTCCCAGCTACTCGGGAGACTGAGGCAAGAGGATCACTTCAGTTCAAGAGTTTGAGGTTGCTGTGAGCTATGATGCCATAGCACTCTACCAAGGAAGACAAAATAACTCTGTCTCAAAAACAAAACAAAACAAAACACCATTGTATGTAAAACAACAACACAAAGAGAATCAAGACTAGAAAGAAATACAACAAACTGTTAGTAACATTTGTTTCTAAATAGTCAGGTTGTGATTTTTTTTTCTCTCCTCCAACCGCTGCCACCTCCTGTATATATATATATATATTTTTTTTTTTTTTTTCCAACACAGTCTTACTTCATCTCCCAGGCTAAGTTATAGTCAGCATAGCTCACATCAACCTCAAACTTCTGGGCTCAAGTAATCCTCCTGCTTCTGCCTCCAAAATAGCTGGGACTATAGGCATAAGGTACCATGCCCAGCTAATGTTTCTATTTTTTTAGACACAGGGTTTTGCTCTTACTCAGGCTGGTCTCAAGAGATCCTGACCTCAAGGGATCCTCCTGCCTCGGCTTCCCAGAGTACTAGGATTACAGGTGTAAGCCAGGTGTACCTGGCCTATTTTCTTTATATTTTTCTGTATTTTATGAGTTACTTTTATAACAGAAAAAATCTTTGTCAGTATTTCCCCCTGTAATCTTCTCAGCAACTGTTTGGAATAAGAATTATTATTCCCATTTTCCAGATGAGGAAATGAGGCTGAGAGAGGTAAAGGAGCTACCTTAAATTTCAGGTCTTATAGCTACTGTGTGACAGAAAGCCAAGATCCACAGGCAAATCTGGCTGTCTCCAAAGCTGGGGGCTCTGGGCAGAGATGCTGGGCCATGCTGTTTGGTGCTTAGTCTGCTGATAAAAGTGTTAGGGTGGGAGGCTCTCAGAACTGGGCTTGTGGTTGGTGTGCTCCTGTGGGTTTTCTCTGCCTGGTTTACTGGTTTCCTACATCCATATTGCTGAGGGAGGACATGCCTGGAGAGCGGAAACTCAAGAAGTGCTGTGGACAGTCTCCCTAAGGAGAAATAAAGGTTTCCACCATGAAGGTATCCAATATAGGAACTACAAATAATAGCATAACTACACAAGATTGAGGGAAGGAAGTGGGTGTGAGTGAGCTAAATCATTATCTATTACAGCAGGAAGGCAATAGATAATAACCAGTCCTGATAAATCCAGATATCACTATGTAAGCATTTTACATACTGACATGGGGGTAAGCACCAGGCCTGAAAACACCAATGGCTTTAAGTGGTATACCTGGATTGAGGGGTGGAGAGAGAGTTTTTTCTTTTCACCATAAGCCATTCTGTCCTATTTATTTTTTTAGCTGAGTGTATTGCATTTTATCTAAAATTTATTATGTTAAAAGTCCAACCTCTGAAAGTTAAACAAACAGAAAGGAGAAGCTCTGAGGCAACTACCTCTGCCAGTTAAGGATCTTAGATTCATCTAAAGCTGTAATTTTATCTCTTAGAAAATAGAGATAAAAAACTACCCTACAGGGTGAGGATAAAATCAGGTAAGGCATAAAAAGAACGTGGTCTAGTGTTGGGGAAAGAATCTATAATTATTAACCATTGTTATTATTATTAATAATAAACCAAGCATACAGGTAATACTCAGGGCTGGACACATAGTAGGCACTTAATATACGTAATGTGTGGAAGTAATTATTTTAAACCCCCACCAGAGCCTGTAATTTTCCCCAACCCGTGAAGCCTGGGCCCCATGCTCTGAGTGAACACTTAAATATTGATGTGGTCACTCATTTATTCATCACTCGGCTCTCAGCCTCAGTGTCCGCGGAGGGCGAACCTCCCTCTCAGGCCCCCAGCGCCGGGGCTTAGCCGCGCCCGCGATCCTCTAGCGCCGGGAGGGTGGAAGCGGCGCCCGATCACCCGTTTACAGGTCGCTGATGCTGGGCTGTCACGTGGCGGGGCGAGAATCGCTCTGGTTTCATTCGGGCATTTTCCTGGGCAGGGGCGGGCTGGAGGAGGGAGAACACGGCCCGAGAAGAGGGGGGCATCGAGGGTCTACTTCACCCCAAGTCGGCGCCAAGGGGGATGGCCATCCTGCGAGGGGCGGGCCGGGACCGTTTTAGGGCAAGGTTTTTCCGGAGCAGGGACATCTTGAAGATTTAGGATTGGCCAGGAGGTGCAGAGCGGGCATTTCATACCCGGCCAAGGGTCTTGCGCTCCCTCCGGGCGAGGCGGGGCTGCGGCTGGCGCCCCCAGCCCGGGGCGGGGCC